TCTCCTCGTACATGTCTGCCGTCAGGACTAAGACACGACCCGGAATGCCGTCTGGCCCGGGGGCCGTCCTCTTAGCGCGCAGCCTTTGGATCGCCGCACCGAACTCGGCCGGGGAGACAGGAGCTATGTCCTCACCAGTTTCAGGGCTACCATCCCTCGGTACCCTGTAGGGCGGCGGGTGTGCCTCTTTGTGGGGAAAAAGGGAGGTCACAGCTTCCCGCACGAGTTGGGGCGGCAGGCTTTGCGTTAATGGTGCCGCTTGCGCCCGGAGTTTTCCACGCACCATCAGGTAGGGACGACCCCACGGATCCCTATTCAGGGAGTCGATTAACTCCTCGCGCGCCCTGTCTTTCGCCACACGGATGGCCCGGCTGAGGTCATGCCTGGCAGCTTTGTACGCGTTGAGGAGGCTGGTCTCGACGGTTTCGTCCCTCCGCCTCCTCCGTCGCTGCCGCTGGTATCGGCGTCTGGCGGCTACGCACACTGTGCGCAGTGCCGCTATTTCCGCAGACCACCAATACACATGCTTCCTCAGCGGGACTGGGCCTTGCCGTGGCATTGAGGCGTCGCAGACACGAGTCAACGACTCAATGAGCGCGGCAACCCTTCCGTCTATACTTGGCGAGCTGTCTGCAGGAAGCCAGGTTTCCACGTGGGCAGCTTCAGCAAGAACCTCCTGATCGAGCCGTTTCAGCGCCCATCGTGGGGTATCCCTGCGAGGTGGCTGGGGCCCTTGAGCAATTGGGGGCGTGGGCGTCTCCGACAAGGCGAAGCGAATGTAGCGGTGGTCCGAAAGGGTTTCTACATCTTCAACCACTTCCCAACCACATACACGCCTCTCGGTAGCAGGGCAGGCAAACGTAAGGTCGACAACCGACGTGCCCTGCGGCCGGACACAAGTGGGTGTCGACCCCCGATTTAAGACGCAGAGTCCAGTGGTCAGGGCCCACTCCTCCAGCACCGCACCCCGAGCATTCGTGGCGGTGCCACCCCAGGCCGAGTTTTTGGCATTGAAATCCCCCATCACCAGCACGGAATGGGGGAGATCTCTGCGCAGGAGAGTACCAATCTGGTCCAGGAGACTCTCAAACTCGGCGAGGGTTTTGCTCGGGGCGCAGTACACGCCGATGACCAGAGTGCCCCCGACCGTGGCACCCACGTAACCGCGGCCCCTTCGAACCCCATCGAGAGACAGGGGTCTCGGGGACCGGGACACAGTGAGCGCAACGACTCCCTCCACGTCACCCACCCAGTCACTCCTGCTTGGGATGAAGTAGGGCTCCGCAACCACGGCGACCTGCGTGGACCATTCGACCATGGTCTGAACGAACAGGTCCTGGGCCCGGGCACAATGGTTAAGGTTAACCTGGAGGACCTTAAGAGCCATTGGCGCTGTTGTCGACCTCCTCTGTTTCCATGTCAACCTCCGCTGGTGCCAGTTGTGCCGGTTGAGACTGGCTTGCGATCACTCTCCTGGAGATCCTGGGGGGGGCTGGTGCAGAGCAACCCCTGCCACCCAGTCTATGGTCCGCCGGTCTCTT